CGCCTCCTTGAATGGATTTGGGCTGTCTGTGGGAGGGGAGCACCAAAATCCTGCCTCCCCCTCCCCCTCCCCGGCCCTCCCCCCCTCCCCCACCCTCCCCCCCCTCCCCCCCTTGCGGGTGCTGTCACACTATCTATCTACATATATATATAGATATAGATATAGATATAGATATAGATATAGATATAGATATATAGTTTGTCTATCACTCTTCACCCCGCAGACGCTGCACCCCGATATCCTGCGAAAGCAAAAGCCCCAGACCTGGCATCATGTCTTCCTCCCAACATACGGCCGGGCCGAGGCGGACGACGCGCAGCGTTTAAAATTACAGATCGCATGAGCTCGGACGAAGGCGCTCTTTGATTGAAAAACTTGGGTGCGGGGTGGTTGGATGCATACAGATTGGACAACCAGCCGTTCGGGCCAAGCTCTCGAAGAAACACTCTTGCCACCAGCCTTTGCTAACACGGTGATACTGTTGATGATATAAATCCTGCAATACCATGCAGGATTTATATCGTCAACCGTAGTACGATACTGTTTCAGGTCAGCTTGCACGGGGCGGCCATGCCAGCTCCTTGGAGTTCCATTTAACGTCGGGTTATAAAGGCTAGGCCTACTGGCCTACGAGGCTGTTCTCGACATGACTACGAGTTTTCCAACCCTTTGTTGTCGCCACATGCCGCGTGTGGCTATCATCAAGCTGTGGCACAGCCTCTGACATGGCATGATGCAACCATGCCACTTCAGCTAAGCTTGCACCCCAACTTCAAAAGCATCGGCGCAGCCTAGCCGCAACGAATGAAAACAAAGAACCCCCTGCACACCCACATCCGGAAACCAAAAGAAATCAACCCCAAGAATCTGCTAGAAAGCCAAACAGTAGAATCAATCTATGGCCTGGGTCTACGGTCCTGCGGCTCAAATTTAACAGATGCTGATTACCCTTTTGTTGGTTGTTGATCCGGCTGGCTCCGCTCACGCCCCGTGGATTTCCACAAAGATCAGCAAGGCCACTATTCCTCTCTGGCAGCTGCTCCGCCACATCAGCCCACGGCCAGGGCATCTGAAGCAGACAGAAGCAGAGTGTGAAGCCAAATATGAAGCCTCAGCTGACGAGTGGGAGCCCCCGAGCAGCCCAGGCCCTAATTATAGCGACTGCGGAACATGCCAAACCCCATCAGAGGACGGTTCGCCGATTTCGAGTGCCACCCTCCCGCTTGATAAGTCCCTCAGTCATCAACCGAGTAGCTTGGCCACGACCTGGACGGCTGCTTGGTGTTGGGATAGCCTCCTGCGGAGAAACAGAGGGCAAGAGAGCGCGTGAGCTCGAGAGATCGGTGCGGGGGCAAAGAAGGCCGAGGGGGTTACAGGATGGGTAGCTGCTTCGTAATCAACTAACTGTGCAGGCTACTAGCGCCGGGTACTGCTCCTGGCAGTTGTACATATTCTGCGCTTTTGCCTTCCATTGCAGGATCGAAATGCAGCGTGGTTTTCAAGCTGCAGAAAAATTCGAGCAAAAGCTGCGGTCGATTCATTGTCTCCGGCAATTATGCCTCAGTCTCAGGCTTGTCATGCCCGCCAGTGCCTGCCAGGACATCGCTGCTAGGCACGTTTTGCTTGCATTGCGACATTCGCGCCATCGCGGGCTGCGGATCTGGTGTCTGATAAGACGGTGGTAGCGCTGAAAAGCTTCTGCAGCTTTGGCAGTCCTTCGCATCTGCGGCTGGCATCACTGGACATGCTTTAAGCTCTTGATCTCCTTGTAATGTGCAGTAGGGGAGTTTGTTGTTGTTAAAGGGTTCTTGTGAGTATGGGTTTCTTGCCGCATTGCCAGCCGCTTCCATCGATCGGTTTCGTCGACTAATTCAGGGGTCGCAGAAACGTTGAGGCAACGTGGAGGATGCAAAGTCAGAGAACAGCCTCAACTTGATGCATGTTCTGCTGTGCTAGTATGCCTGACGACCCCCCTTCTCCGTGCACCTGGTCAGCTCTTCAGAGATGTCCAAAGGCTCAGCGACGGTATTTGCCACCTGGGCTGCCTCTGCCATGTTGGCAGGTGTTCAGCCATGCCCTCACTCCTTCGGAGTTTGGCACGTGAAAGTCTCCCAGTCTTTAAACGCGTAGCTGCTGGACATCCCTTAAAGTGCTTACGGTTCGGGGTTCACCGGAGCCCAGGGAACCCGGAATGCGGCTTCCTTGTCCAGTGTCTCAGACGATATAAGTAAGGTTAATAATCTGTGCGATGCTCCAGAGAGTCTGCTACCGCCCCTTGAACATAAGTACATCCGCCGGTAAATGAACTTCTAGGGATAGTATTTTCACCCAAACATCTCGAGTTGAAGGTTCCGCACTCACCTTGACCCTATTTCTGCGCTTGCGCTTCCTTGGCCGCAGACGCCTTTTGGCGATCCTTGGAGCTTGTCGCCTTGTCCATCATTTCCCTGGCCTGATATGGCTGTCGGGTTTCCCACTCAGCTGCAAGCAATGGGGAACGCCGGCACCGCAGTCGCTAGGCTAGGGGGTCAAGGATCTAGTCTCGCCGATAGCAAGGCAGCTGGCACATGCTGGCAAATCCGCTCCTACGGCCATTCACACTTCGAACCCCCTAGTCGAAGGTTCCCAGCCCTTTGCAAGAAAACCATGGGTCGCTTCTTTCTCGGGGGCGAGGAACCATTAAAGGGAATGGAAGCACTGCAAGTGTTGTGCAACACCCAACAACAGGCATCGGAAGCCTAATGCGACAAGGATGCACGCGAGTGCGCTCATGTCGAAGATGGTCATAACCGGCAACAACGGCATCAACCAACCCTCACCATCACGATCACCGTCACTATCACTATCACCGTCACCATCATCCTCATCAGGTACATGCCCCAAGCCCAAACCATCCCAACTCCTCCCTCTCCCACCAACAGCGCAGCCTGCTGTGCATCGCTCAACCAGGCTGCAAGCTCCGAAGAAGCAGCCATCTCACATCTGCCCACCAGCCTGGCGTCTTTGGATGCTCTAGAGCTACTCGAGAAGTGGTTCCCGCTCCCTGGAGAGATATCGGGAGCGCGTTCTAAGTTCCAGGGCTTGGCAACCTCCGGATGCCTTCGTCTGCGCGTTCTATCCACGCTGCTCCCTTACGATGCCAAGCTCGCACTCTGGAATACTGTGTGGCCTTCTGCCTTAAAGTGGAGGCCCAAGCATCCAGATGTTTTCGAAGGGTGGTGCGATAAAGGGCTGTTAAGGGGGTTGCAAAGGAAAAGATGGCAAAACTATCTGAAGCCTGTTTCAGCTTGAGGCTGCTGAAGGAGGTGGTCCAGGCTCGGGTATAGAGTCTAAGAAGGTGTGCGCGGAAAATCCTGCTGACATCTAAGCCGTGGAAGAAACAATGCCACAAGACTTCATTTGTTAAGTGTTTGCCCACACCATGATAATTCCAGCTCGTAGTCTTCCGCGCCTCTCGATATGACGGACATTGGCCTTCAGGGCGAAGGCAATGAATCTGACCGTCTAACCGGGAAGAATGATGCGGTGCACTGCCTTTTCGAGCTGCTCATCTCATAGGGAAGTGACCGTTCGAGCAGCACGACTAGAGTGAGCTTCCAGAAAAAAGCATTAAGGTGGTAGCGATCGGAGCAGAAAAGGAGAGGGAGGGAGCCAGACTCTAGAGAGAGACAGCAAGGGCTAGCGAAAAAGACTGGAGGGGAGAAGGAAGGGCACCATTCCCAGATCACACGCCGCAAAGCATCGGCCTTGTCGGCTTCTGGCAACGTCTGCCACCAAAGCATCAGATTTCGGAGAGTAGCGACCACAGCGCCATAGCGCTCCAGCTTCATGTCCACACCGCGGAATTCTTGCCAAGACGCGAGAGCGGCGGAGATTGCCACGACGATAGGTGTCCAAGCTGTCTGATCTGCTGCCGCAAGCACTGCCGTGGCACTGGTTGAGGCCATGAAGAATATCTGCATGAGCAAGCGGGTGCGCCGGACCTGTGGGATGCGGCGACCATAGAAGGCACGCAGGGGGCTCAATCTCCAAATGATGTACTCTTCAGGGCTCGCCGGCGCATGGTGACTGTCTCGGTCAGCTCCGGGATGAGTCTCTTGGTCTGGATGGGTTTTCAGTTTATCTGAATCACTTTTGATCTCGGGGTACTGCTTGTGGCTGTGGTGTGCGGGTGTCAAGTTGCTTGCTTTCAGCCTCTCGTTCATCATGTCAATCCTGTCCTCTTTGTTGTGCTTCTCTCCATCGACACGGATGCAAACTTCGTCGGTCGTCAGGTGGTTCGCAAACTGGTCTTTCGGGCCAAGTGCAGCATCTGCAATCGCGAAAATGTTGTCGCGAAAGCGCTCTTCGGCCTCGCTATGGGATACTTTCTGGCTGTTGTGGTTATCTCTGTCTCCCTCTCTATCTCTCTCTCCCTCTCCATACATCCACGTGACTATATTACAGACTCGTGCGTAGTCTAAGACAGTCTAATGTCGAGACCAGCTGATGAGGACGATCCCAGCAACGCCCTGTCTGGATATCTACACACGTACCATATTTGTCAAATTCTAGAACATTGTTCATCGCACACTTCAGGCATACCAGTAGTGAAGCAGCTGCAAGATCTAGTCGTCTCTCTTCTGCAGAAGGCCGCGCTGGCCTGTCGCTCACCCTCATCGGATCCGACGCTGATGTGGGTAAAGTCTGCTCTTCCATAATCGCCAACTCGAGTCCTCTCTGGGCTTCTGCTTCAGGGGGGCGGGGGTTAGGGGCTGGGGCGTGTAGGGTTCTGACAGCAGAAAGCTTTTCACGAAGGAGAGAAAACACAAACACACACACACACACAGAGACACAAACACACACACCCCCACCTACACCCCACACGACAACGCTGCAGCCAGTGAGGTCCTGAACATCCAGATCTCAGCTTGCAGCCTTTGGCAAGCGGTTCCTGGCACATGATAAGATCTGGAAGGAAGGCCAGCAACTTCCCCTGAAGTCAAAATCCAAGTAGAAAAGCACCCTTGAGGTTCAAGCTCCATCGGGATGGGAAACCACTGGCGCGGAGCGCGCGTCGCCAATGACACGACGGAGCCCGAGCCGTGAACCCCACACATGCCAGCGCAAAATGCATTCAGTGGACTAGTTGTCAGTCATCCTACATATAACTACCCGGGCAAGGCTCTAAGCTTCATCCACTGCTTCGTGGGATCCGTGAAGGTCGTCCAAGCAGCCAAGCTCGAGGAAGCCAGGCCCAATCCCAACACCGTGAACTTCTTGGCGTCCTCCCAGCTTGCTTTGGGGGTCTGTTCGGGTCTGTATGCTTTTAATTTTGTGGGCTTGGCGATATATGAGTTGATATGAAGAACTTAGCGGGCTTCGAACCTCAAAAGCTCTTTTCGGTTTTGGGGCCTCTCATTGGCCCTCATCCCCGGTCGGGCACGATCCTGTCTATAATGCCACAAGGCATATTTAAACTAGCGCAGAGTTTGAAGGGGGTCTTTGATGGTGGATCTTCGAGAGAATGAACTGAGTGTCAGAACAAGCTCTGAATAGAAGCAGCCCATGCTGTCCTCCGACATTTCGGCAGTCCATGCCGAGGTAGTTACAAAAGTGATCACGACGCCCAAGAGAAGCAAGCAGGCAAAAGAGAGTTTGGCAATTAGCTTCAATCTCGCAGCCTTCTCATTGAAAACATCTGCCAAAGTCCAAGCACAGCGGAGAAGCAATAGGCCTTCCAGTGAACTGTTGTCAGGGAGCCGGTCAGAGCGCGAGTGCTTCTGAACGAGGTTCCTCAGCCTCCGATGATCACTGAGCTCGCAGCTGTCCACGTCATGGGACTTCAAGACTTCGTACGCAGCCAGCCAAAGCCTCTTGTCGCTCTTGACAACCTCCGCTCGCTTTTTCACCCTGTCGTAGCCTTTCCTTATTTGCTCCACCAGGATGCGGAATTCTGGGTGTGCTCTGCTCTGCTCGTTTCTCCAGTACAGGAACGCCGAATAAAACTAAGATCCCCAAAGAGTGCCTAGTTGCGCCTCCTCCAGCCAAGATGACAGCATAGCCTTCAAAGCGTTATGTGCACGCTCGAAGTCGTTCTCCAGCCGTCTATTCAGTATTACGCGACTGTATCGACCTGAAAACAAATGAACTCAGCTCGACTTGGGAACGAAACAGCGCTTGCCCATGGGAGTCCGCTCGTCAAGGACAACAGACTTCCATCATTACCGGAAACATCCAGAGAATTATCACAAGAGTAGCAACAAGTTCCTGAGGTCAAGGCCTTGGGCTTGCCAATCATTGTGCGGTTGAACTTCCAAGACAGGAACATCATCCACCTTGACATCCTCCCACCCGCTGAAGACCGCATAGTAGTGTAGTGTTTTGGCCCACCTGCTCTTCCATTCGGCTTGCAGTGTGTCCCAGTCGTCACAATTGGAAAGTGCCGAGATAGCTTCTTCCAGTTTTGACATGATCATCCTCGACTCCTGAAGGGCTCAGGGTCTCAGGCATCTTCAAAGCTCTGCGAGCCCTTATGACATGCTAGGGCAGGTATGACTGACTAACGTGCGAAAAACTCGCAGTAGGATGGTCCTGCTCTGTTTGCTGTGCTACAAAATCCACGAAGAAGTCGGTCGCTTTGATGATGGTCTTGTCTGCTGCCGACAATGCTTCGGAGACTTCGTCGCGGCGTAAGTCAGTAGGGGCGCTGGTGTGATGTCCCTCGAGCATTGCCTGGACGATGGCTTCATGAAGCCAAAGCTCTCGGTCCTTTCGCTGTTTTTTCTCATTGTCCTTTCGGTGGATGCCCGCACGAACACATGCCAGTGCAGACCCGATGTGCGTGTCGTACAGGGGTGTTTCTAGGCTGTTCAAGCGCTCGGCGTGCTGCTGCAGCTTTTGGCAAGCTTCATGAAACGGCTCGCTGGCAAAGCTTTTTCTCGTTGTTTTTTCGTCTACATGCATGCTGATGTCGTCCAGCGGGTCGCGCGGCAAACGGGACTCAAGAGTGGTCTCGGCTGGCGGCTCGTGTTCTTCATCACTGTATCTACTGTCCAGCAGAATCAAGGGAATGCCGTTGGTGATATAGTTCAACGCCTCGAACTTCAAAACATTGACGTCGCCGCCTGTCCAAAGTGCGAGCACTGGGACAGACTTGCGAAGTGAAGAAAGGAACATGTTCTCGAACTGGACGGCCGCCCGTGGATCATGAAGTCCCTGGTCGTTCAAGCACTCAAAGAGGAAGTATGCCGCGGCGCCTTCAACAAGCTGATGGCGTGGCCAGAGCACTGGGTCAATGCCGTAGTGATGAGAAAGGGCAGGGATGAAATCGGCACGCTTCCATGCATCGTTGCTGTCTTGGAGCTTTCTCTCCAAACTGTCTGGCTTCAGCTTGGTGTTCACTTGCAGATTGCGCGCATGCTCGAAAATTACCAATTGAAACTTGCATTGGTCTCCAAGGCTGTTTTGAAGGGGCTCACTGACCTCTGCGAAGGCATTGGTCAAACTGCAAGAGCTCCTCCCGACGATCAGGGCTTCCGTCTGATGTGCCACAGGCAGGAGCACTTCCCTCGCGATAACATTCCTTGGCTGCTCCTGCCATATCACAGCACCTGCAAGCACTTCAACCTTCTGCATCCACGAAGCGTGTACCTCTGCCAGTCAATCGGTCTACCTCTACATTTCTTTCGTGCCCCATGTCTGTAGAATCGCCTCTCTCGGGACACCAGTGTTCGAATCCGTGCATACATGAGCACTTGTTGTATGCTCACACATGCACGACACACACACACAAACCAACAAGCAAACAGAGAGAGAGAGAGAGAGGGAGCCATGTACATCAATATAGAGCTATGAATTCAACACATATGTATGTTTGTAAATGGAGTGTATATGCAAATAAACAGACATCGCGTGTCTCTGTGTGTGTGTGTCTGTGTACACTGCTTGACGATGACAACAAACCGGTCAATCCCAAAACGTGTGGCAATGCTAAGACCACAAACGACAACAGTGAGAAATTGCAAAATTGTAGCATGGAGGGACCGAATTTCGGACTTTGTGATTTCTTACCGTTATGCATTCAACGCGACAGGACCCAGGACGGTCTCGAAATGAGTCCTGCGGCTTGAAGCCTTAACCAAGCTGCATCTGTTTCTCAACCTCCTCTTCATGGCGAGGGAGCTCTGGAACTGTTTTTGATGGCAAGAAGTCCTTCAACTTGGGCCGCCCCTTCCTGAGACGTCTGCTTGCTGGTGCGAGGGCTTTTGGGGATTCAAAGGCTCGCCTGTGGTGGGACGCCAACAAAATGGCCGGAGTCGTATTCGAGAGCTATGCCAGAACCCAACTCCATCGTTTCATTCCCCAACAACGCAGACCAAATCCCCCAAATGGTTCGCAACAGGCCCAGCTTCCAGTAGCTTCGGCCCAACAGCGAGGGAATCAGCAGAATCACCAGCCTCAGCTATCATGCTGAATTGATAGCGGCGGAAAATGGCGGCAAAGTGCTGGGGCGTACAAGAAGACAAGCTATACACCAAGGACTCGAGAAAGTAGCAGTACAGTAGTAGCAGTCGTCGTCGTCGTATTAGTAGTAGCAGCACTAGTCGTAGTAGTCGTCGTCGTAGTAGCAGCAGCAGGCGTGGAAATAAGTAGGCCACATGAGCCCCGATGCTGCGACAACTGCTCCTGCCCTTCTGAGTAGCTTGGGTTCCTGGAGGCCAAGAGCTTCACGCACCTCTGGCATGCGCTGGTCAGAGAAGTGGAGCGCTTGCCTGGGCTCAGGAATCCCAGCTCAAGCACTGCAGCGATGAATTTTGGAGGGACCCGGCCGCGGCCCACTGCCTATAGGATTGCGGAACCATGGTGGAGATAAGCTGGGTATCATATCGTAGCTCAACCCATGCACAGAAAAAACTCGAAACCCGAACGGGCCGAGGGACTGATTGGTGAAGTAGATCATGCGGCTCTCGTGCATCAGCTCCCCCAAATTGTACTCCACGGTGGAGATCATATTCTTGATGCCTTGGGCAGTACAGCACAAGCGGGGCATAACATGTGCGAAGGGAAGTTGCCAGGCACCCAACTATATCCCTGACTAATCACCCCCCTTCGCCCGGGACGGCTGTGACGGCTATGACTTGGGTATACTTGGGTAGTACAGTTCCGATAGACACTTCGTCTAAATGCGGTGCAATTATGTACAATTTCGACTCACACACTCGCTCGAAGCAGGCATGGCATACAGCGTCCGGGATTACTACTGGGACATGTCCGATTGGCATGGCCGAAAGCGGCAAGCAACCAAGAAAGTACAGACAGCAATAGGAAAATAAGAGCATGTACAATGTAGGGAAGGAAGGATATGACTCCTGTTTGCACGACCTGACAGAAATTGCCAGGCCACCAGATCTGTTCCGGCCAAGCTTCTCTCGACCTTCAGCTTTGCCAGCTGCTCCTCCAGCCTCAGGCGGTCCCTGTCCTCTTTCGGAGTCTCCTTGGCTGTTGCTCCAAGTGAAAGCTGACCTCTCTCAGCACCTGCGTTTGTGCTGAGCCGCTGAGCGACCGTGACGAGGGGTTCTAGTATGTTTGCCGCTGATGCGCCAATGCTGTCGCTGCATGCCGAGACTCGGGTCTTTCCGAGCGCGACATACTTTCGGCTGTTCGCTTGCTTTCTACCACAAAGAAGTCGTTTAGGTCGCCGTGCACCTCAGTATGTGTGCAAAATCTCAGTCGGCAGATGCCGTGCGCTCGACAGTTTCAGCCACACACACAGATGCTGAAGGCATTCCAAGATGCTTTCGAGCTTAAGCGCACTGAGGTTTGTTGTCTCCGCTCTTGCGCCTCCGCATGGCATGCAGTCAGTGCCAGCTATTGGTGGTAGTTCGGGGTATGAAAGGGGTCTGAAAGGGGTAATGGTACTGGCACTGGTAGTGGTAATAAAAATAGCAGTGGCAGGAGCAGCAGCAGGAGCAGGAATAGGATTAGTAGGAGCAAGTGGTCGCATTGAAAAAGCTGCCCTTGCCTCTGCATCGAGCGGCTCGGATCGCGACGAGGGCGGCTGCGGCGGAACTCTTTGTACCGGGGAGAGCGGTGCGACGCTCTCGAGCGTGGTATCGGCAGTTTCTGGCGGTGGGAATACCAAAAGCTTGCAGGCTTGAGGGTCTAGTTACTCAGGGCGAATTCAATTCCGTAGTAGTCAGGCCTCGCCTTTGTGTTCCTGTGCTGGTTTGCTGCAGACTCTGCACTACTGTACCCGTTTCGCCATAAATCTTCTAGTGTATTCATGATGTGTTCAGCCCAGTGGCAAGGTGTGAAGAACAAATCACGTGTCGGAACTACGGATACGGTCAATTCTGCCCGACATGCACTGACTGAAGGTTTTCTCAACACAAGCCAGGGAAACGAAGCCGGTGCTCCGGCGGGAAGCCGGTTGGCTCGGTCGGGACGCCGGGAAGGGGCAAGGTTTGGGCAACCCGGCCAAGGGAGGCTGCAGCAGAATGAAGAACTGTGCCGGCTTCTTGCACACGGCCGACGGAGGCGGCAGCAGAATGAAGCGCCGTCTCGCCCACATCTTGTACGCGGCCAACGGAAGAATTAAGCGCCGCTCCGGCGCTGTCTTGTACGGAGTGAAGGGCCCCGGCGACGTCTTCCACGATGTCACGCACGTCCATGGCCATGCTTTCGGCTTCAGGGTGTCTCTGTGCCTCTTTTAGGAATCCACCGCAATGTGTCTGATGCCGGCGTGATCTGTGTTGGGGGAGGACTTGACACTTGAAAATATCTCGAGCAGTGCCACGCGACAAGCAAGAAATGCGTTGTGTCTCGCGGGTCCGTCCCTGTGGCGCAGCTCCAAGAAATCATGTCTGAACAAAAGTTGAACGCTGATGAAAACACGATGAAAACCCCCCTACTGTACTCCGCCTTCTAGCTGATTTTTACCTGCCCTCGACACCGCTTGACTATGCACGGAGTGGTGCTTGAATGCTCAGCGCCGGTGGCCCTCACTGTTTTCTGCAATGTCTTCGCTGGCTACACCCAGTATCAAGCAGCTTGAGCATCTTTCTGGATGTCCAGAAGGGACACCTCTGCAGTCAGTGGCCTCCAGGCGAAACCACACAGGGCACAGAAGCAAAGCCCCATGGAGCACTCGGAAGGCCTGGATTGTCGCCGGACTCTGTGGAAGACTCCAGGAGCTTGGACTTCCTGTATAGGTATACCACAAGAGGCAGTGAGTTTTGGGCACTTCGCTGAAACAAAGCGATCGGACATGGCAAAGGCTGCAAAGGAAAACGCAGGCTTTGCTGGCCCTGCCTGTTTCCGCACTTCTCACAGCATCCCTGGAGGCGGCGCGCGCAAACTCGGCCTGATCAAAGCACAGTCGCATGTTGCTTGCATCAGGTTGGTATTGATCAGCACTAAGCGAGGGAGCAGAGCAAAACCTGATCAGACATTTTCTGGAGGCGCTGCGCTAGGAGCCCACTGCCGAGCCCAGGCTGCGCAGAAACGAACACATGAGCGCACGCATGCATTCACGCGTATTTCGTGTCATAGGCTCCGGGCAGGCCACCATGCGCCTGTTGCAGGAGGTAGCGGAGCAGTTCCAGAATTCCTGCACAGGACGATTCACCTTCATCCTCTGAGACTCGGAGCGGAGAACTCTAAGCTCATCTCACAGGAACACCACCTTCCCAATCTTGAGCTACCGCTCGCTCGTTGCACAAGCGACGACAACGGGTCTCATGCCCCCAAGACGAGCTTAGCAAACCAATCGAGGTCCCTTAACGATTTTGGAAATTGATACCCGGAAGTTCACGGGAAAGTGAACCAATCCATGAAGCAGCGCATCTTCCGTCTCTGCACTGCCCCTTGTGAGTGCCATATCGCTTCAATGTAGAGACTTCTCAAAGAAGTACTGCAATCATACCCAAGCCTAGGTAGCGCGACGACACTTTGAGTCATAGTGAAAATCTCGTAACAGGATGAGCTTACAAAGCCGTAGCCTACAGACTCTTCAAGCCCAGGCCAATGCCTGGCCATCATCCGCAGACCGAGCCAGACCCAAGGCCCATGACTATCTGGAAACGGCCAACTCGTCCCGGGCGATCCTAAGGACACCAAGAGGTATGAAAATAGCTACAACCAGCCCCAAGATCATCCCAAGATCCCCCCCACCTCTACGGCACGCTTTCCGCAGAGTGGACAGGCCAGGTCACTGGAGGGACCTGGAGCTGCAGGTGAAGTGCAACGAAGGGCAGAGTTGGGTTCGGGGGTGTAGGCATCAAAGGAGGGTGTTCAGCGTTCAGAAACCAGAAGAGGCGCGCAGTCACATTCCCAACGCTTCGCTTCCTGGGCCATGTGTGCAGTGGCATGCAGTGGTCCTATTGACGTTCTTACAAAGGGCTGTGGAAGCTCTTGCTTCACATGCCCCTGGATCGTGGGAGGGTGATCTTACCGCCAAGATGACGCCGAATTCTGCTTCAAAGGAGCCGCGAAAGCTGGATGCAGGCAGATCTTTGCGACTGCGACAGATAAGAACAGGGTCTTGGCCTGTGCGGAATGTCTTGCAGGTGCTTGGTATGGTCATTGACCGGTTGCGGCGACCTAGATTTAGGGGACTTAGATTTATATAGGTTTTGGAAGCAGCTCAGCCAAATGTTGACAAATTTTGGCAAAATAAAGACAAAAAAAGACAAATAAAGACAAATATTAGACAAATAAAGACAAATAAAAACAGATTTTGACAACATA